GCGGTGCTGCACGCCGCGGTGCACCAGGCAGCTCGTACGGCAGCGCTGTCGACGTAGCTGCAGGATCGCCTGCCTGGAAAGTGACCGTTCGAGCACTTGTTTTGGCTGGCCTGCCACCTGTTTGTGATGCTTCGCCCGTCTTGAATATGGAAGGCCCGCCCGAGGCCTCTTCTGCTGCCCGCTCTCTGTGTCGCCGTAGTCTTGATTGTGGTGAGGTTTCTTGTGTGCCGATTTCAATCTCCTCATCGTCCTCAACGTCTATCCAGTCGTCTGGTCTTATCAAACGGCGAGGTTTCTCGCTAGCGCCCTCTCTATATTCATTGCCTCCTTCTAATCTAATAATCTCTTAAATGTAACGCGGTATTCTCTTAATCCAAGCCTGAATCCGCCATTGCTCCATGTCTCGCCAGGCTCGCCGCTATACTCGGGTTCCAACCGCTTTAGAAGAAGGCGCACCCTTCTTAGTAGTTGTTCGCTTCATATAAGGCCAGGCAGGCTTAATTATATTAAGATCCGGTGAGTTTGGACACCAAAGAAGCCGCTCGACCTTAGCTAATTTAAATACGGTTCCTTGGTGGTGGTAAGCGTGCGCAGGAGCGCAATCTTCCTGGACAACTGTTCCTGGCCTCTCTCGGGCGCATTCTAATATAAAAGGCAATAGCTTAGGCTTAAGTATATACTTTATATAGCGAAACTAGTCTACGCTAGTACCTTCTACTTTTATAAGTTTGCTATTGTCCTCTATAAACCTTTATTAAGGTTTCCTGCCTTTATAGTTACGCGTTGCACTAAGACGGCCTATGTAATTATTAAGCTCCTATTCTTGCTTCGCAATAGGCTTAATAGCTGCGTTTATCTCTTCTAATTTATTTTTAGCTTTATAATGCTCCTGCGCAGTCTTAGCATTCTAAATATAGCAAGGCCCCTTTTTATTATATAAGAAGGACGAGCTTAATTACCACCCCCCTATTCTCTCCGCATCACCCCCCTTTTCTCTTCCTGCCACCCCCCCTACATCTAGCCTAGCGCCGGCCCGTATTAATGTTGTTCCACCAATCATATTCACTCGCTTATTAGATACGTAAAACGGCAAGGCTATACAAATCGGAAAGGATGTATACACGAATCGCATAGGATGTATATATATACAACAACAACAGTCTATTCACTCCATCTACTCTAGCTAGTCTAGAAGCGGAAAGCGCCTAGATGGCCG